GCTCTGGACCAGCAGCTGCCGGCAGGACCCCCAGTGTGCTGGTTACCATGGCTGCTGACATCATGTCCCACCTTCATTTGCAGACCAGCGGGAGAAAGAGCGGGACCAGCGGCTGCAGGAGATGAGAAGCCAGGCTATGGCAGGAAGGGCTGGCCATGCCACAGAGACCACCACCACCACACAGAGCACCCAGTCGGCAGACGGCTCGGCACGCAGCACCGTCACCAAGACTGAGCGTCTCATCCAGTCCAGTACGAGCTGGGCTGCAGGAGCGTGGGGCTGGCTCCTTGGGAGGCTGTACAGAGTCCTTCCCAGGGCGCTACCACCGCGGCATCTCTCTATCACTCTCGCCACTTGTCCTGACACTGGTTTAACCATGCTGGGAGCAGCAGCATGCTTCAGGGCTGAGTTTTTGCAGCATCTGCTCTCATGACTTCCCACTCAACCCTTTGCCACGCTGGGGTGGCAGGGTCCTTGTCTGCTCCTTGGGCGTGTCTCCTGTCCCATGCACCTCTGCTCTCCCAGTCCCTGGGGGGCTCAAGCTGAGAGTTGCTGCAAGGGGCTGAGGGACGCTCCAGCTTCCCACTCCTTTGCACTGGCCTCTTTGCCTTGGCTTGGGAGCATGTGCCATCTGTCCCCTGCCTGCCCTGGCCGTGGTTCTGCCACCTGAGGCTTTCCCTGTTGTGCTACGCAGCTGTCAGGGTACTTGGCAGCAGTGGGTACCTGTGGGTGCTGCTGTCGCCAGCCTCAGCTGATCCCCGTTGCCTGGTCCTCCCACAGGTGATGGCACCAAGACCGCCCGTACCACAACCATGGAGTCAAGTTACGTGAAGAGATCGGACAGTAAGAGTTTTTGCTGCCCTTTCCCCACAGCATCCTCTGGGCATAACCCAGGGGCATTGCTGCCACCGAGCCCTCCCTGCATGTGGCACAGGCAGAGCCCCCCACCTGCCTGGTGCCGTTTCCCTCAGCTCCTGCCCAAGGTCTCTCTCTTTCTCTTGCTCTGCAGATGGTGACAGCACATTCGTTCAAACCAAATCATCCTATAGCTCCTCTTCCAAGAAGATGGGCAGGTGAGCGGCCATGCCTTGCCGGGGCCAGCCCCAAATGGTCCCTGTCAGCCATCTGTTTGCACATACCTTCTCTGCCCAGCTTGTGATGTCCCCATGCAAGGATGTCCCCAAAGCCTCCTGGTCCTTGGGGCATGCTGGCTGTCTCCACTGGTCCCCATGGGTCCCTCCATGAGCATGGAGATGTGTCTGCCAGCCAGGGACCTTAAGCTACCCCTCTTGTGTCCCAGTGATATGGAGGTCTCCAAAGCTCCAGGGTTGGCAATGGGCTCAGGCCACCACATGCCCTTCCCTGGGCTGCCTGCAGCCCCCTTAGCTTCATCTGTGTCTCTCCCAGCATCTTTGACCGTGAAGACGAGAGTGCCTCCAGGCAGAGCAGCCTGGCCGCGCTGGAGCGGCGCCAGGCTGAGAAGAAGAAGGAGTTGATGAAAGCTCAGAGCCTGCCCAAGACATCGGCCTCACAGGCTCGCAAGGCCATGATGGAGAAGCTGCAGAAGGAGGGTGGGAGGTGAGGCTGGGCTGGGGGCAGGCTGGCTGGGACAGCAAGCACCGCGTGGATAACACCCTGTGTCTTCTACCACAGCTCGCCAAACCCCGTGGCAGCACGCACCACCGTGCAGCGCTCCTCTAGCTTTGGTGTGCCCAACGCCAACAGCATCAAGCAGATGTTGCTGGACTGGTGTAGAGCCAAGACCCGGGGCTACGAGGTGAGTGCCACCTCATCTCCCCATCCCCAGGGCCGGTCACTCTGCCCCTTGGTAACTCTCCTGCCCTCGCAGCATGTGGACATCCAGAACTTCTCGTCCAGTTGGAGCGATGGCATGGCGTTCTGCGCCTTGGTCCACAACTTCTTCCCTGAGGCATTTGACTACAGCCAGCTGACGCCCCAGAACCGCCGCCACAACTTCGAGGTCGCCTTCTCCTCCGCAGAGTATGTAGCTCTCATGCCATCACGTGGGCTTGGGGTGGCTCACCTGCTTGCTGCCCAGGGCAAGGGGGGCACAGGCAGGGGTGACAGTGCTGGAGGTGGGTGCCCATCACCCTTGTGTCATGCAACAAGGTTTGGACAGAGGGGAGGGGAAAGCAGTGGCTCACGGACAGAGCCGTGAGAGGCCAGTGCAGCCCAATCTGGTGTGCTGAGGTGGGCATGGGGATCTGGGCTTCCTGGGTGTGGGGCGGAACACCCAAAGACAGGGCAGCAAGCCCCTCAAGCCCACTCAGCTGCAGGCAGTGGTGTGGGACCACAGCCCCTGGGGAGCGGGGTTTATCCATGCCAGGTGCCTCCTTTCACAGTCGTAGGGGCTCAAACACCGTCGCAGCTTCTCCAG